TAAAAATACTTCAAAAAATACTTCAACAATACAGTGTCAACCACCAGTCCATTGCATGGCTAGGGATAAGCTTCACTGCTCAGTAATTGTGAAAACTGCAAAAAGAATGTAATTACCTCTGAGACAAGCAGTTGAATTGAACAGATTCTGAATGTAGTTGTCAGAGGTCACAAAAATAAGCTTAAATATTGGGTGTGGATAATCAGCAACTAGCTGAAGATTAACCTTCAATGTCCACAAAACGAGACAACCTGGGGTGGGGTGGGGGCGTGGGGTGAGGTGTGCACAAGAGGTGTGGAGCAAGGTGGTAGAGGAACACAGGGTTCTTCATAAATGGTATTAAAGAAATCAGAGAAAACAGGAAAAAGGATAAATGTGACAAGTTTTGGCTCAGCACCTAAGAAAAACAGATGCTCATTTATTGACTAGTGATGTTATTTAGCATTAAAAATAACATTTTATAGCAACAGTGTTATTTTAATTCATTTAAAATTCCTGTTACAAGATAAGCTTTCTTATCGGTAGCTGTGGAATAATAAAAAAAACTTAATCTAATCTACACTATTGAGATGGAATCTGAGACATTAAGCCAGATCTCATGACGACGTGTCCAGTATACATTTGTTAGTCAATAATAATTCATGATCGGCCTAACCAAATTGCAATTGTGGAATTGTTTTGGCAAGAATATGGGCAGATGTTAAAATTAAAATTATATGTCATAAGTTTTACTTAAGAATTATTGTGACAGGAATTTGTTGCCGCTTTGCGTCAGGAACGCGATGAGGGACACAGCAGCAGACCTCTCCTTTCTCACCCGCTGCTGCCCTCAGCAGTGTATTTCAGTCAGTCTGCCTGTTCTGCTCCCCACTCTGTCTCTGGTGAATCCTCTCACCGCCCACACCTCTGGCCTGTACCCCCATTCTGGTGTGCATAAATAAATAAATATTTTTTAAAAAATCAATGTTATAGGGGACATAAGGTTAGGCGACTTCCACAATAAATGAGGGTAACGTACATAATCAAATGCAATGTATGAAGTTTAACCTGATCCCGTTTGGGGTTGTGTTTTAAGGTTTGATAATATTTTGAGAATAGAAAAATTTGAGTGCACTGAATATTAAATGCTAGGAAAGTATTTTAATTGTCTTAGATACAATAGTCAAATTACAGAGCCCTTATATTTAGGGGAGAGGAAAAAAACAAAGGTAACAGAAGGTTAACTGCTCACACTGGTAAGTGTACCAGTAATAATTAAAGCACTCTCTCAACTTTTCTAGATATTTGAAAATTTTCATGAAAAATCTTTTTTATAATAAACTCATCATCACTTATCATCAGAGAACTGCTAATCAAAACCACAATGAGACACAACCTCACACCTGTGAGGCTTATAGGTAGCACAACTAAAATAGGATCCAGCAATGCCAGAGTGTGAATGCAAAACTACTAATTCAAAGGAATATATACACTCCAGGCCTCCCTGGTGGTGCAGCGGTTGAGCGCTGGGCTGCGAAGCTGCCCGCAGCCTCTGCAGTGCCGGTTCAATCCCCGGCCACCGGTTGAGGGTCCCACATGGCGCGCGGACCTCTCCTGCCGCCCGCTGCTCCCCTCAGCAGTGTATTTCGTCGGACTGCCTGTACTGTTCCCTGCTCTGGCTCTGGTGAATTCTCTCACCCTCCCATGCTTCTGACTGTACCCAGTGCTTGTATAAATAAATAAATTAAAAAAAAAAAAAGCTGTTACAAAAAAAAAAAAAAAGGAATATATCCACTCCTATGTTCTTTGTAGGACTATTTACAACAGCCAAGTTATGAAAAAAAATCTAAGTGCCCAAGGACAGATGAGCGGATTAGGAAGATGTGGTATATTCGCACAATGGGGTCTACTCATCTATAGAAAATATGAATTCTTCCCACTTGCCACAACACGGATGGACGCAGGGGATGGAGGTGGGAAGCGGTTATGTTCAGTGAAATAAGGCGTAAGGCAAAAGACCAACACTGGCCAGTTTCCCTCATATGGGGGAATACAGAGAAACCAAAGGAACGGACAAAAACCAAACCAAAATAAACCCTAGAAACATGATTATAAAATTGAGGCTATGAGAGAGCAAGGGGAAGGGAGGGGGCCATAGAGGGCCAGGGGCCACATGGGTGCCTTGTGGGTGGGGTGGCCAGGTAACACATAGCTGAAAACGTGTAAAACTCTACCTCTGAATCATAATGTTGTGCAGTCATGTTACTGCAATAAAAAATAATTTAATAAGCAAGCTAATCCGAAATCTGCTTCCATTTGTGTTCACCTAATCATCCTAATTCTACCACCTCTATTTTGGCCCCAGGGACCACACATTCTCCAATTTCCTCTTCCCTTTCTTCGGGCTCCAGCTGCTCCAGTGTCCCTTTGCCAGGGCCTCTGCTGATCCTGCAGTCCCGGCTGCAGAGAGCTCAGCACTGCCCTTCTAGCTGGTTCTCCCTCGCTACGCCCTTAGCTTCTGCTGCTGTTGAAATGCCAGACTCCCAAATGTGTATCTTCAGCCCAGATCTCTTATCTGAGGTAAATGAGTCTCAACGTAGAAAATTCCTTACCTAAAGTACTGCGGTTCAGGGGGAAAGCAAGACCTATCAAATGACATACCAAGTTAGAGTCTCTTATGAAATGACAACCATTTCAGTTTAAAGGGGAAATGTTGCAAATCTAATAATACACTCCTGATTAATTAAAATGCTTGTAGAGTATTCCATATAATTGAATGTTTTAATTAAATCAAGTTTTGGAGCAGATACAAAGATGTAAACCTACTTTATCTCAATAAACGTAATTTGGGGGGAAGTAATATAAAAAATCTAGGTTCAACTACTTTAAAAAAATTTTATCATACATCTCTATTTAATACATACAATATTCAGGGCACAATTTAAATTTTGATTTTTAACTCCTAAATGTAAGGTACCTCCATGTCAAAATCGTGAGTATCTACACACTGAATATATTTAGATTTGAGTTATGCCAAAATCTGAATGATATAAGCAATTGAGTTGAATCTGGACTCATATGGAACTTACTTAAATTTCAATATTTAATTATCCACATTCTTCCATTTTATAAGTCTCTTACACAAAAGTTAACTTACAAAGGAAGACTCAGTATTAAGCCTCTAGTTTCTCATAGCAAACAATTTATAAAGGGCTTAAGGCAAAGAAAAATAAACATCTCACAAAGAAATAGAGATGCAGAAAACACATAAGACTCAAGCTTCAGGAGCAACGGTTAAATTTTTCAGGGATCTACCCATGAACCAAACCTCTCACTGGCTTTGTGGAAAACTCTGAAACAATATGTAGTGTTTGACAGTGTTTCGATAGAATCAAGACCAGGATTAGTTTGTTTTACCATGAAGCCCACACAAAAAGGACAAGTCTTAAAAACGCAGAAACACGGAGAATTGTAGTTCACCTCCGTTACACACTCTCAAACTAACACCTTTCCAGCACCTTTGCACCCCAGTACTCACAGAGGGCATATTAATAACGGCTGTATCAGTCTCATATTAATAACTCTATCAATGCTGGATTCCCATGGCGTCTGTGTCTACCCAGTTGACATGTTAGGAAATTCTTCAAACTTGGGGGGGGAGGTCTTTGAAGCCTAGTATCTATTTACAATGGAGCAAATGCTCATTATTTGACAGACTCTCAGCAGATAAGCAAGAATCCACATGTTAAGTTATGCCAAGCACTGGTAACTGCTTTCATCAACCAGATTCTTTGCTCATTTACATAGACATTTTGGAAGTAAATGCAGTCATTACTCTTAATCAACTCAGAGTACCAATCCACTTATTATATAAGCATACAACTATTACATATTCCAAAATTATTTCTATTTTGCCTAACCATGGTCATATTTAGATATCATATTTTCTTAATTCACTCAAACTATGTGAGGTTAGTAATTTCCTCAACCAAAGTGGCTTTTTTTTTTTTAAAGATTTATGTATTTATGCAAGCACTGGGGTACAGGCCAGAGTCGCAGAGTCGTGGGAGGGTGAGAGAATTCACTAGAGACAGAGCAGGGGGCGGAACAGGCTAAAGGACCGAAATACACTGCTGAGGGGAGCAGCGGGTGAGACAGGAGAGGTCTGTCGCGCCATGTGGGAATCTCCCTGGCCGGCAGAGAATCGAACCCGTGCTGCAGAGGCTGGGGACAGCTTCACAGCGCTGTGCTCAACCCGCTGTGCCACCGGGGAGGCCCTAAAGTGGATTTTATTGTTGGGCAGGTAGGCAAAATATAGGAGACATAGCAAACAAAACTATAAAGATATTATTTGGGGGGGGGGTCCTCCCTGGTGGCACAAGGGGTTAAGTGTCAGCACTATGAAGCTTTTGGCAGCCACTGCAGCATGAGTTTGATCCCCGGCCAGGGAGGTGACCCACATGGCGCAGCAGACCTCTCCTGTCTCGCCCGCTGCTCCCCTCAGCAGTGTATTGCGGTCCATCTGCCTGTTCTGCTCCCCACTCTGTCTCTGGTGAATCCTCTCACCCCCCACACCTCTGGCCTGTACCCCAGCTCTTGTATGCCTAAAGAAATCTTTTTTAAAAAAGATATTTTTGTTTTTATCTTTCCTAATTCATCACCCCTTCTCTTAAAAAAAAGAAGATATAAATACCGGATGGTCTCACTCATAGCAGGAATCTAGAAAACTTAAATAAGGGACCAGGAAAATGAATAACTATAAGAAAGTGAAAATCAAAATCAACAAAAAACTATGAACCAGAGACACTTTTAGGGGGGCGGGGGCGGGAGGGGAGGGATTGGGGTCAGAATGGGGGCGCTGCAATTGTATGGGGAATATAACAATAAAATTTATTATCTAATAAAAAAAAAAAAAAGAAGATATGAAGGTCTTCTAAAAGTGGGATGGGCTAGATTGTCTTTGTGGAAAAGTTCTCAAATCTTCATGGACTATAACTAAGGCATTGACTTAACTGATGTTCTGGAAAGCTCATTTTTGCAGTTATCTAATATAAACAGAGGACCAAAGTAATAATTGAATCTCAACTGTGAGTCACAGAACTCAAACTTCTAGTTTGGAAGTAATAACAATTTAATGGACAAACAAACCATCATCACAGTGAATAAAATATTGAAGCACTGTTCTCTTTTCATTTAACTGCAAGAAGAATTATTTGTGGTCATATATTTAAAGTCGATAAAACCAGATTAACTTACTGACAACTGAAAAAAAAGACTATTACAATTTGCAGAGAGACACAAATTTAGCACTACAGACAATTATATAAGCAAAATACATAAAAACCATGTCCAGCGCTTACTAGAAATCTCATCATATAACTCACCAATTTATTTGAAGTTACATTTCAGACAAAATGGACATTTTTTAAAAACTTATAAATATATAAATCCAAACCACAAAACATCTCCTAAATATTCTATTTACTCTAAATACAAACAGATTTTTGGAGATTGCATTCACAATGCTATCTAAACCAGATTGTATGAAACTTTTCATGTATTTAGCTATATCTTGGGGCTTAAATTCATTGGGTCACACCCCATATATACTTTCCCATTATACTTACCTTGGGGATACATATTTCCAAAGTTAATAGTTACACATTTAAAATCAAACTATTATTCTAGAAACAAGTCATTTTTTCCTGAATAAGGAGAATGGAACTGGCCACTGCCACTAAATCACACAAGAAGTATTCCATGACAAACAAGTTAAGGTCGTTTTAGTAATGCCCTTTCTAAGAGTTATAAGTATTTTCATGTTAATCATCAGTAATAGATTTTAGAAACTTAAAAAAAAAATTTTTTTTTGCTTTTTGTGAGGGAGGAGGTGGAAGACTACTTTCTGGACAGTCTAATTCCCTCAAACCTAAAATCTGCTAAAACAATTTCTTCTCTGAAATATGTACATTCAACCTCCCCAACATCTAGAAATCTCATCATGAAAAGAAATTCATTAACTCGAGTCACACAGCTTACAATTTTATTTCAAATAACCGTGTAAGAATTTGAATCCCTTCTAAAATGGACTTAAAAACCACAAGGATAGCAACACGGCAACGTTCCACCTCCACTGTTCTTCTGGAAGGGTCTTTTCAGGCAGGGCATCAGCTCTGTGTGTTTCCTGCCCATCTTTTGCCTGCCTACTGCACCCGCGCCTGGCACAGGAACCTAAAGCGTCGTATTTTGGTGTCATCGCTACAGTACAGCAAAACACACAGGTTCTCGGTACTTCAAGCTCTAAGCAACAATATCTCATTCACTGTTTCTGGGTTTCCAGTGCCACATTTTTACCCTGAATTATTGTAGGATTAAGTCTGCAATAGAATTTAGAACACAAAATCCTCACAAACTTCTAGCAACTAATCTAAAAGGAACGTCATTCTGGATATGGGGTAGGCTGATTAAGCAACATGGTTTAAAAAAAAAAATTAAACTGAACTGAAATGTTTTAAGGAAAAACTGAAAATTTCCACGAACAGGAGCTGTGAGAATTCTCTGGGAGAATTTCAGAGAAGACGAAGGACAAAAGAAAAGTGGAGAAAAGGCTGCACCTCAAAACCAAGGGCTACATTCTGTCATGAGGTGACTTTGCTGCAGACTCCTCACGGTTTTTCATTCTCTTTAGTCGTGTGGCAAAACAGGTGCTTCACTGAATCCACACCAGGGAACAGGCCGCTCCCCTCTTGCCGAGGGAGAAGGTGCAGCGGGCAGGCGACGACTAGAGACAAAGACGCCTGGCAAGGACCTACAGGGAGCCCCATTTTCAAAGGGGTGCATCTCAGAACAGCTTTCCCCCGTGTCCACTCCCCCCCGCTGACCAGGGGTGATCAGGAGAAGGGTCACTCCCTCCCCGACAGCAGCACAGCACACCTTGCCCTGGGGTCTGCCTGGCAGCGCTGAGCGAAACCCGGCCCTCCCCGGGGCAGACTCCCCACAAGAGCTCCGTGAAAGCTGAGCTTAGACATTTTTGCTTCTTTGCTGACACCTACATAGAAATACCATTTTTACCTCCAGCAAACAGGAGAACCAAGTCAATAAACAGCGTGATGGAAAACGGACCACAGACATTGGGCCAGCGGCCTTGTCAGTGCCTTGGACAGTGTTTCAGATGAACAGAAAAGAAGTCCTCTAACTTCCAATGTGGCAACTGATGCCCAGTTCCTAGGTTTGCATATCAGTTAAGAAGAAGGTGCCATGCAGTCTAGAAACTCATGACAGACACACTGGCAAAAACCGTACACCATGAGAATAACGAGGCTCGAAGGGACGAGGCTGACGAAGACGACCCCGAGGGTGACTTTCTTAGAGACCAGTAAGTAGATCCCTAAGGGCAAGGAGCTGAAGTAGAGCAAGCCTAGCAACCAAACTAACACCCGGATGGATGTCTGAAACAGCAGGGACGTGCAGTTCCACACAGTCCAGTTGTGAGACACGGTGGTGACGGAGTCGAAGCTCGCCGGCCTGTAAAATTCCACCACGGGAGTGGAGTTCAGAGACGGGGAGCTTTCCCTCTGCACCTCCATGATGGTGATGACCAGGCAGTTGGAGGACGTGTGCGACGGACTGACCAGAGAGGCCAGCCTCTTGGGGGTCAGCAGCAGCTCCGTGGGGTTCTCTGGCAGGCACTTCTTGCCTTTGGCGCCACAAGTCAAGTTGACGAGGATGTTGTTGTCGTCCGGCAGGCTGCTGACCTCGTCGTCCGGCAGGCAGGTCTCAAACCTGCAGAAAGGACAGACGATGACGCCCTGCGGGGAGTCCCCAAAGTCGATGATCTTGTAGAGGCATTTGGCACAAACTCGGTGGCAACACTCCAGCACCTTGGGTTTCCTCTGCTTCAGGTTGTAGCGGTTGTAACAGATCTTGCACTCCAGCTCGTCCGAGACCTGAGACTCGGCGGCGTCGTCTGGCGGCTGGCTGGCCATCGCGACCAGGGGAGCCGATCTTTGGCCAGATGTGACTCGTGGGAGAACCACTCTGGTTAAGGTGCCCGGCTGAGCATCACATCATCCAAATCGGGCAGAGGTGCAAAAAGTCATGAGCAGTGACGGCCAGAACTTCCCCAGGCATGTTCGGTTCCTACGTTGTAGAACTCTGTCTCAAACGCATATTTTAAAAGGCCACGTGTAGGGTCTGCAAAGGCAAAAAGAGATTCTGAGGTAGTGATCAGCTTGCTAAATAGTGCTTTATGGAATTTTCTGAGCTTCGATGATTAGAAGCAATCGTCTTAAAAGGTTAAGTCACCTTCATCTTTTTACACATTTCGGCCCCCAAGACAGGAACATGCTGTCTCCGTGCATAGTTTTTTCCGTCCAAAAATAGGATAATATCAGGAATGAGAATATTAATGGTGTATATACACTCTAGAATACTTTGAGTATAGACAGATTTTTCTCTCTGAAATTCGTAACAAAGTCTGGCCTCTTTGAAAGTAGACTATGACATGTATCAGGAACAAATACATTTGCAATCAAATTCTGTTCAATATGGACTAATTCAGAGTCTCACTGGTACAAATTCCTGTTGTCTAAATGCCCTCAATGGTTCATAGGAATATACAAAAGAAGGGAAATCTTCAGATAAATGTTTTAAATGTGTTTTCAGAAAGTACTGCACCAGCGATGGGAGCATATTTAAATACAACTGACTGTTCTCACCTTCCCAGTGTAAAAATGTGTTATAAATGCCTTTATTATTTGACTATTCAATTTCAAACTTTGTGTTTGAAACTGGTATTGAAAACCAGTTGTACACAGATATCCACTCAAGGGAAAATGAGGCGTATGACACCTGATACGTGACTAGTTGACAAGCATAATAAACAAGTCAAGTCTAACGCCCCCCCCCCCCAAGAGAAGCAAACACAGACAACACATCCACAGCCACACCTCCCAATATGAAGCAGCACATACACACAGCTACCCAGAAATATTCAATGCTCACCTACTGGCAACTTCATTTCATATTTCATTATGAATATTTATTATACTCACTTTATTTCACTCTCTTCCTGTAGTGGCCAGAAAGTGCAACACAATCAACAGTCTAACCTTGGCCCTGCTTACAAAGTCTGGCTTGGACAGATGTGCAGTCAGTTCTCAATTAGTACTAATGGAAAGGGTCAGCATACAGAAAATCTCCAAATAGTTGTTATTTTGCTTTAATATATGTGGTGTTTGGGGCAGTAGGTATGTCTCAAATTACGTTTTACTTGGACAAATATCAAAATGCATTTGAATTTCTGAGCACACACCCCCCTCCCAAGCACAACAGCAGAAGACTGCCATAATAATTCTGAGAAGTAGAGAGCAATTATGCTAGAATTTAAAATTTGCTATGGATCACATGCCTTCACAGAATACAGGCAGTGGGTAGCTAAGTTAGATAATTTCTGAAATCACGAATAGTTGGTTTCTGGCTACATATTTTCCTTTTTACTTGGACTTTAGCTAATTTTATAACTGACTTCATATAATACGAGAATGATTACGGCTACCGGTAGCAAGACATTCTTAGTGGGAAAAGGAAGTCAATCTATAACCAGAATCTCTGGCACCAGCTAAATAATGTAGTTAGGTTTTTAAAAACAGAACATATTGTACATGAATGCATGTATGTCAAAACTGCTACCATAAACCAGTTTCTGTGGATCCATTCTTACACAAAAAAAGAATATACAGGTATAAACATCAACTCTTCTATCCTCTTTGCTTCCATGTGCCTTAATATTTTCTTCCTTCCTGATGCTGATCCCATTCAGTATCTAAGTCTCAAGTCACTGTAAACCAAGACTGTGTCTTGCACACGCAGCTAGCTTTCTAGTCTCCTGTGGGATAAACACCTCCAGGATGAACGTCAAGGAACAAGAAGGCCTCTGTCCCTGTCACCACTTCCACTCCAGATGTCATCACAGGATGGTCTCCAGGCCTGGGCAGGTCCCGGTGATCTGCTCACTGGGTAGCCCCCACTCATCTGTTCCTTGGGGTAACACCGAGAAAAGACCCACTGTAACTGAATGTGTTTATTCTCCTTGCAGCTACCTTCGCATTCAACCTCAGTGCCCTTGACAACCCAGGGGCACTGAAGCGGACTGTACTGGGATTCACAACAGCGAGCACTGCCATCCCAAGGACCCATGTATGTGAAGTTGTGTGAAGAAGGAAAAGAATGTAAATATATACATAAAGAACATCAGGGAAAGAGAGAATAAAATATTCAGTGAGGATAAATAAACAAAATGCTATCTAGAAATACAACAAAAATACCAGAAATGCCAACAAAAGGCTTCTGTGTATGTGAGAACACGTCACACTGTCAGCACCTAACAGTCACCTGATCACAGCAACACCTTCTGCGCCCAGCTCCCAGCACTAGGCAAGGAGCAGTTTATCACATGGAGCACATAGATGATTTACTCTGACAATACTGAGTTATTATTTGAAACAAAGCTTTCTTTTTGCACAGAAACACTCCAGAGACCTTTAAATGTGTTAAGACACAGTGGTATGCGATCACAACATTCACATTTATAAAAATTCATAAAGGAGGTTTCTTGGTAAGACACAAGGATAATATTCAATGTTCCAAAATACAATCAAAAAGATATCTACTTTAATTCTAAAGCCAAGTCTAGCAAACCCACTCCATCAGCTGGAAATACTTCATCAAGCCCTGCTGACCATGGCCCATCTGGGTGGGGCTGGCGACAGCCTTGAGCTGGGGTAGCATCCTGGAGACGCAGCCAACACAGTGTCTGTTCCTGGAAAGGCATAAAACAGCAGGTGATTGTTCCTCTGGGAAGTCAGGGGACCGACCCCACAGTTCTTAAGAATACATTCCTCATCTACCTCATTATGACCAGAAGGTCCCACAAAGAATTCGAATCATCACCTAACATCTGTCACTTTGAGTTGTGATTTGAGTCCTCTAACAGCTATGTGTTCCAACCTCGCCCACCCCGCCTTCGCGCCCGTCTAAAGCTGGGAACAACAATTACAAAGATGAGTGAAAGAAAGACCCAGGGCCTCCCCTGGTGGCGCAGCGGTTGAGCACTGGGCTGCGAAGCTGCCCGCAGCCTCTGTAGCGCTGTTTCGATCCCCGGCCGCCAGGTGAGGGTCCCACATCGCGCAACAGACCTCTCCTGCCGCGCCCGCTGCTCCCCTCAGCAGTGTACTTCGTCAGTCTGCCTGTTCTGTTCCCTGCTCTGGCTCTGGTGAATTCTCTCACCCTCCCACACTTCTGACTGTACTCAGTGCTTATAAATAAATAAATACATAAATAAAATCTTAAAAAAAAAAAAGAAACCAGACCCAAAAGAACACATGCTGTATGATTCCATTTCCAGAAAGCACGAATAAATGGGCAAAACTGAGCTGTAGTGATTAGGGATACAAGCTGAGGTGGTTAAAATGATGAGTTCTGTCTTTGATCTGGGGGATACGGAGGCATGTTCACTGTGCTGCACGTAAGTCCACGTTCTGTGCTGCTGCTATCTTTCACAGCAAAAGGTAAAAAGCAAAGAAATCTGTGGCTAAGTGTTTTAGATATTTTTATAGTCAATTTTTCTGTCCATGGATAATTTGAGTCAATTTATCTCTTTTTTTTCCTGTGACCTGTAAGCCTGTTCATTTTTTCCCACAAAATTGAAATGTCAGTCATTTATTTATCACCTTAATGTCCAGGCATTTGGGTAGCACAATTTAAATTTACTCCTTAGTATTTTAATGTTTTAGACATTATTTTCATTTTCCCTCTTTTCATTTCTAAGAATCTATTGTTATTATCAGAGAAGGAGCTCTTGCTTTTGGTTATTTATTTTGAATCCAGTCACTGACCAAATTCTCTTATTCATTCTAAAAGGTTTCACTGGGAGTCTCTTGGACTTGCAAAGTATATAATCATATCATTAGGAAAGAGATCATTTTAGCCCCTTTTTTCAATATTTATTCCAGTATATTTATTCCAGTCACTCATTTTTCTTGTTTTAACCAACTCATTAAAGTTTCCAGTGAGAAAAAAAGACAAACTTTTGTCTTCTTTATTCATTCCTCAGAACAAAGAACAATACCCTGGTCCAAAATAGGTGCAGAAAAAAATCACTGCTGCGTGAGTCTAGTGATGGCCAGGTTGCTAGTTTCTAATTTTAATTGTAATGTTTTGTATGTTTTGCTGTTTAGTGATGATACTTACTGTGGGTTTGGTAAATAATCCATTATATTAAAGTAGTTTCCTCCCATTCTTTCTGTTCCAAATTTATACTTTATATTTATAGTGTCTTTACATTTTGTTGAATTATTTATTGCTATCTACTTCTACTGATATGATCACACGGTTTGGATTGCACTGATAAATTTCCACACTTGTATTCTTGGGATAAATCTACATGACCATAGTTGGGTCCTCACATACACAGATGGGTTCTTTCTGCTAATATTTTATTTAGGATGTTTGCATCTATATGCAACATGAACACTGTCTCCAGACATGTTGTATATGAGAATTTGAAATTAAATGTATAATTATTTTACAAATGAATTAGGAATCTTTCATCATCTTCTAGAATATTTTTAAATAATAATAAGATAATTTATTTCTTAAAGGTTACATAAAATTCAGGGCCTCCCCCGGTGGTGCAGCAGTTGAGCGCTGGGCTGCGAAGCTGCCCGCAGCCTCTGCAGCGTCGGTTCAATCCCCGGCCACCGGGTGAGGGTCCCACATGGGGCGCAGACCTCTCTTGCCACGCCCGCTGCTCCCCTCAGCAGTGTATTTCATCAGTCTGCCTGTTCTGCTCCCTGCTCTGGCTCTGGTGAATTCTCTCACCCTCCCGCACTTCTGACTCTACCCAGTGCTTGTCTAAATAAATAAATAAATAAATCTTTTTTTTTTTTTTTAAAAAAAAAAAAGGTTACATAAAATTCAGCTGTAACTCCACAGGACCCATTGCCTTTTGCTTTTTTTTTTTTTTTAAAGATTTATTTTTTTATGCACACAAGAACTGGAGTACAGGTCAGAGGTGTGTGTGGGGGTGGTGAGAGGATTCACCAGAGACAGAGTGGGGAACAGAACAGGCAGACCGGTTGAAAATACACTGAGAGGGGAGCAACGGGCGAGTCAGGAGAGGTCTGCTGCGCCAT